ATTGTGGATCTTCATCCGAACTGTCGGCGCAATCGGCCACTCCGTTACATCGTCGATCACGATCGATACAAGCGCCATAAGCGCAACGGAATGCCGAACACCTGCAAATAAGTTGTCAGTTGTAAATTATTTACTTTTATTAACTCAACTTGAATTTTAAACATTTACTAAAAATAAATTGAAATTGCATCCTTACGGTAACGATCNGCACAACGCGGGCGTTTCGTCGGAGCCATCCGCGCAATTCCGGATTCCGTCGCACGCTTCGATTTCGGGAATACATTTTCCGCTGTCGCATCTGAACTCAGAGGATCTACATCGCGAGGGATTTTCCGATCCATTGACGATTCCCGGAGTATCGCATTGAGGCAGCGTTTCGTCGCTATTGTCAATGCAGTCTTTAACACCGTTGCAGATCAAGTTTCCGTCTATGCACGCACCGTAGTTACAACGAAATGCGAGAGAAGAGCACAAATTTTCCGACTTTTTACATTCGCTCTGCGTTTCGTCGGACGCATCTCTACAGTTCGCTTTGCCGTCGCACAACAAGTCGCCCGCTATACACTCTCCGTTGCGGCATCGAAATTTATCCAACCTGTTTTCAAACAATTAGAGAAATATTTATTTCAGTCTATATTGCGTAATGTAACTTACTGTACAACACACACATGCAAAACAAGAAAAAATACTTACCCACAATTGTTAATTTGTGCATATCCAGAAGCAATACACACTGCGGCAAAAAATCCAAGCAAAATCTTATTTTACTATAAAAATCGATTTGATTTAGTTGTTAGTCTTTGTATGTACATTTTAGTTTCAAAGTTGAAAAAGAAAAATTTTATATTCCGGAAAAATTTTTTCCGTCTGCATACGTTTTAATGTGCGCACACAAAAGAATTTATCACGTATGAAAAACAATCGATTATGAAAGCAATTATTAAAGTACAATTGTTTGCATGAAGCAACCAGCAATAAGAAAATTTTCAATAATAATTATCGAAAGAAAAGCTTTGCGTATACGTGGAAATACAAGCGTCGTAATATTCGTGTAATATTATCATCATTTATTATCAACCAATACGTAAGCAAGATAGATTCTCTGCTCGAGTTCAAGGCCAAGCAAACTGGTTTCTGAAACTGGCTAAGATTTTACGAAGATTTTTCGAACGACACGCTGGTATATGTGCGCATTGATAAATTAAAAAATAGACGAATATTCGATTGTGTTTGTAAACATGTATATTTTATGCTTGTTTAACTACCTTGTTTTTTTTTTTTTTAAGAAACCAAGACAAATCAGAGATAGTTAATGGACGTAAAATAACACATCGATAACGCTGATGAAAAATAACTGCATTTCCTTAGCAAACAACCACATTTTCCACATTTTTTTTTTATACACACATTTTTATGATGAACAAAAAACATCTTCGTGAAAAGAAATGCCGTTGTAATTAATCATTTCTTCAAGAAAATTCCTCTTTGCAATTATTTTTTCACTTGTAACGAGAATCTTACTTGCCGCGAATTCGTCAACATAAATATACAATATCTAACAATTGCGGTACAGGTAGTAATGTAATATAATACCATAAAGAAGAACGATGTGTGTTACACTTCTCATAATACTGGAGAAATGTCTGCTGTGTCACTATTCGTTTCCTTAAAACTTGTTGTTCAATCTCCCTCACTGTTCATCGTGTAAATATGACTCTCACTCCTATCTACTTATATATACCGGTTGCCACCAGACTGGAATTACCCAATGAACCCTAGCGTGCGCGTCATCTTCACTCATATGTGCGTGTGTGTGTGTACGGGGAATGCCGTATGTATTGAAATCGCACATTTGTAAAGTCAGTTATACAATAAAATCAACAGGATTCGATATAGCTGATAGCGTGCATTCTTAGTTCAAAGAAAACTACGAATACTCGAAACCTCACGTCGTTGTATCAAAGCGAGATAGATTATTCTGATGGCACAGTCATTTTAAAAACTTACGCAATCGCAATACGTAAAATATTGATAATTAATATCCGCGTGACGAACAGAAAAATTTGCGAAATAATAGAAAATTGATATTGAACGTTGTTTCTTTTAATATTTTTTTAACGTACGTAACACAGAGCTATGTATTTTACATCTCAACGTTATTGTCCATTTTCTTGTTGTTTCACGTCGTCGTCTTCCTCTTCAGGCAATTCCGGTTGACAATTAAATGTGTAAAATGGCAAATTGGCAACCCATTTTAATGTTCTGCACGCAAAATTGGTTAAGGCAAATGAATGCTAAAAATATAAACTGATCTGCCAAAAAAGATTTATCGCAAAGCTAAAAGGATACGTTTGTTCTGAAGTCTCGGTGTCCACTATATACGATAAAATGTAATCTTTCTGAAACTTTTCTACTTCTTCTTCACACTCCTCCCAGTCCAACGTCTCGTGGAGACCGTCTGTGCCGTATCTCTTATTGTAACTTTCGTAATGTACCTGTCGATTGTTTTTAAAAATATTTGTAACAAAACCTTGTATACTTAACTATATCAAATTTTTTTTTTTCAATTTTCTTAACGGTTTAATTTGTGAAAAAAGAACAACGTAATCAAAATTTCTTACGTGACACAAGCACAATCCTAAACTAGGTGCAATTGCTATATCCATTTTTTTTTTTGTGTCAAATGCTAAACTGAGTGTTTCTTCGGACACGATGTTCCTCGCAATCGCGACCGCAAACGCGACCATCTTTCGGATTTGATGCAACATGAAACTTTGTCCTTTGATCTCCAGCACGACGAATTCCATGTTGTTCGAAACAAATGTTTTCACACAGCGAAAGTTGATAATGTATCGTTTCGCACGTGGATCTAGTGGTTTTCTGAACAAAATGGAATATATATCGATTGTAGACACTTGAGCAAACGCAAGCAACAAAATGTCTGAGTGGGTTTGCTTACACTTTCGATGTAAAATTGTGAAAATTACGAGTGCCTTCCATTAGCTTCAGTATCGAATTCAATCGGTCTAAGGATTCCGGAGATAATCTATAATCGGTATATGGTTTTCCATCGATCGTCGATAGCTGCTGGATTCTCTCGTCCTCGTTAACATCTTCTCCGACTTTTAACAAACTCGGATCTTCCGGCACAAATGCGAACGAAGGAATGACGTATCTGTAAGTTCGCGCGTCGCACTGATTTTTGCTATTAAAATTTTTCGTCACTCTCTTTATTCCAAACACACGAATCACATCGGGTAGAAAACTATTTATCACCGCTTTATCGGGATTTTCCGCTGCAAATAATACATTTGATATAACGCGAGTAATTGTGTTAAATTTTCAATTTAAAAAGTATCACATGAAAATCCATACTAATAATCAATCTTACGTAATTTTAGTGAGACAATTTGTCTAATAGCAGATACTCCTTTGTCTGTGCGAGCGGCTCTTTGAAACTTGATTGAACGTATGTCCTTGAAATGCTCTTCGGTTATTAAATCTGCCTTTGACAGAGCAACAACCAAGTCTTCCTCAATAGTCTTCATACCAGGATTTCTTTGCATTCCATAGTAATCTTTACCGAGATAACCCAATAAAATAGCGTGATTTTTTCTCTTGATTCTTTGCAGTGTTTCAGCTTCCCCATCTGTTTCTACCTTTTGTACTTTTACATTAATCTCAGTGCTATCGTCTAACATAGATCTCTTCTTTTCATTCGTAGTGTTTAATTCGGATTCAACAACGGGATTCACCGTAACCGACATGGTTCTGCAACTGCTTTCTAAAATTAAAATTTTTTAGACTTGTGAGTATTGAAGGATATCAAAATTGATTACGAAACGTCAAACATGATTAAAAAGAACACATCTATATATATATATTTTTAACAACTTTTGTAAATTCTGTAAATTTCTTGCGTGTCTGTGAAAAAATCATTTTAAGCAAAAAATGTTTGTTACAATTTATCGTATCTAATTATATTTTAAATACCTAAGTGAATATTTATCCAACGAATTGTAGATCTGATGATGCAGTGTCTTATCTTGTACAACATTGGCACTTTCTCACTCAATGATTTTATTTTTCGAATACGTCTTACGTTGAAATTCGGATCGAATTCCTTCCCTATTGCATTTGACAATTATTAAAATATTATAATACACTTAATACACACTTTAGAAAGCATTTTCACTATAAATATTTATGTTTACATGCTCGTGCGCAAAACTATGTGAGGTTATTTCGTGTGTGCCGACAGCGTGTTTAAAGGTTGATGTTCAAAACGTTCAGAAATCGGTTTGAGATCTTGTTTGCAAAAAGAACCGACCAATCGTACTCGAACGATTTGGTCAATCGATTAACACGACTGGCCCGAATTCACTCTTCGTTCGTGATCACTGATCGATTTTCGTTCGTGAAAACAGGGCTTTAATTCGATATTTGTTTACTTGTTCCTCGCAAAGAAACTTTGCTCTTTAAATCCGACATTTTCGAACGGAATAACAGGATATATATATTGAAATTATCGCTGAACCAAATAATAACTCAAATATGTCGAGACTCAAGAAATGTACGGAAAGAGACATATCCATGCTGCTTGAGACAAATTCGGATGATGAGGTAGATGAGTGCGATCAATCTTATCTGCCGCAAGAGAGTTCCTCAGAGTCATCAGAGAACTCCGAAATTTTTGAAAATAACAAACAATTGTTATTGCGAGCGAATACATTGCGTAAGGAACAAGTTTCTCTGAGACTCAAATTGAGACGTTCCACGGAACAGAGCGCTTACAAAATAGATACCGAATCGGAAGACGAGAGACCGAGAAGGTCAATCAGAAGTACGAGATATCGTTCGCAAGATGAGAATCAGATGCCACGCAAAGGCAAGAGAATGATACAGGTACCTAAACGATATTCGGATTACACGGAATGTTACACTCTTAATGGAAAAGGATCTGTCTTACAAAGAGAACAGATCAATTACAATGAGAAGGAGTTGCTACTGGCTTCTTTGGATAACAAAAATAAGAGAAAAACAGAGATCAACAAACATATCGAAAAGAATAATGACTCTGATTCAGATTGTGTTTGTATTGATAACATCAGTAGTTCAAGGACAGCTGTGATAAATACGAACACACCTTTGAAAGGCAAGAGACGAAGTGTTTCTCCTGTAGAAGATATTGCTGATAACACTCCTCCTAAAGTTTTTAGAACTAAACCTTTGAGACATTCAACGTTAGATAAGGGAGTTAAAAAAGATAATGCACAACTTGAGAATGGTATACATTCTGATTTGAAAATCATGAAACAGTCTCCAATTGATACTCCCAGAAGAAAACTAAGATTCAAAGATAAGGATAAGAACAAAATTGATGAGATAGAGGATATATGTGAAGTTGCCAAAGAAAAGTTGTCGATAAAAACCAAAAATGATAACAAAGACACAAAGAATACCGCTGAAGAATCATTAGCAGAGATTAATGTGAGTACTCCAAAAACTCAAGATCAAGATGCAGTTTGTGCGTCAAGGTCAAGGTGCAGTTCTGTAAAGATGAGAACTGAAACTCTGGCTAATTCGTCTACGCCTTTGCAAGAAGCCAGAACTCCCAAATCTTGTCGCACATTGAAGCATAGTTCTTTAACGCCATCCATGAAGATGAGAACAGAAGCTCTGGCTAAACCAGCCACACCCCTGCAAGAAGCCAGAAACAGATTGCATGTTAGTATAGTACCAAAGTCACTGCCGTGCAGAGAGGAAGAATTTAACAATATTTATACATTTTTGGAAAGCAAACTAACGGATAAGAGTGGAGGGTAAATTAATTATTTATCTTCAAAATATATTCAATATGTCTATGTTACAAATGTTGCAATATCGTTACATTTATAAATATTCGCAGATGCATTTACATAAGCGGTGTCCCAGGTACAGGTAAAACTGCTACTGTAAATGAAGTTGTGAAATGCCTGCAGAAATCTGTAAAGAAGGGTAAATTGAGTCACTTTGATTTCGTTGAAATTAACGGCATGAAATTGTCCGAGCCTAGGCAAGTCTATGTGCAAATTCTGAAACAGCTGTCCGGAACAACCTTAACGTGGGAACAAGCGCACAATGCGCTAGAAAAGAGATTCACTAGCAAGGCGAAAAATCGGCCGATGACGTTGTTACTTGTGGATGAGGTATATATTTTTTGTTGATATATTTGTGTTAATATTTTCTTTATTATATTTGTATTAATATTTTTGTTATTTGTGTTATTATTTTTGTTTATAATTGTGTTCATGTATTTTTATTTCGCTTGTTATTTTCGTTGCATTACAATTTTTTGTTTTTAATTTTGATTTTGTAGCTTGATTTGTTGTGTACAAAACGACAAGATGTAATTTATAATCTTTTGGATTGGCCTACAAAGGCGTCTGCTCGCTTGGTAGTCATTACTATCGCAAATACTATGGATCTTCCAGAGAGAGTTTTAATGGGTAGAATCACGTCGCGATTAGGGCTTACGCGGGTAACTTTCCAACCGTACAGTCACACACAATTGCAAGAGATAGTGGTGACCAGACTTCAGGATGTAGATATTTTCAAAAGTGAAGCTATACAATTAATTGCGCGGTAAGCATCGCATATGATTTAGATTTCATACATGTATTTATATACAATGTATATTTTAATTTATATATGCGTGCATTAGTAAGGTATCCGCGGTATCTGGCGACGCCCGCCGCGCTCTGGACATTTGTCGCCGAACGGCGGAAATCGCCGAGACACGTGGCGGAGATACGGTAACGATACAAGATGTGAACGAAGCTCTGTCGGAGATGATAACGAATCCGAAGATTCAAGCGATACAACATTGCTCGAAATTCGAGCAACTTTTTCTGCAGGCCGTGCACGCGGAGGTCACTCGCACCGGCGTCGAGGAAGTTTCCTTTCAGAATGTTTACAGACAGCTCGAATTTCTGTGTACCTTCGACGGTTCGTGTCGCTGAGAGACAATGTTATCGTATCCAAAATGTTTCGCAAAAAATTTCACATTGTGTAACTTCTCGTTCTTTTTTTTAGGTCACGAAAAACCTAATATCACCCAGGCGCTCGATATCTGTGCGAGATTGGGTGACTACAGGCTGTTGATATGCGATTATTCGGGTAGCGACATACATCAAAGGATTTTATTGAATGTCTCGAAAGATGACATACACTATGCGCTCCAAACAAATCTCAAGAAAAAAAAGCGATTGTAATATCAAGACCAGATAATTTATATCCCTAATTTGTTTTTTTTTCTCTTTTATTGCGAAGAACATGTAGCGTGTGTGTTTTTATACAAGTTAGTTATTGACTATATTTTATGATTCACGACCGGTTTTTTACTCAATTACATTTTGTTACGAGAACATAAAGCGTGTAATAAAAATACAGATATAATTTTTTAACATGAGATGGTACAGCAAATAATACAGACGTGACGCAATAGTCGCGTCTGTATATACGTATCCCGGAACACATACAAAAACGTGTCATCTGCCAGGACGGATGTATTCAAAAATATTGAACTCTATATTATATGCAGTCGGTCTATTATTGGAAAAATTACACAACTCAAGGTCTCGGACTAAAAACTATAACTTCTTTCATTACCTAACGTCAGTTCAAGGTAGTAATATTCTTCAGTCTGTAATCTGCAGAAGTGACATCGGTTTTTTTTTTTTTTTTTTATAATAAATGAGAGAAAATACATCATTATTTGTAACATGTACGTGAAAAGGGATTTACAAGTAATAAATAATGATAATATCGAGGAAAATATTCTTTCGTTATATAATGCTCAAAAATGGCAAGAGATCGCCGCTTTATCGTCGACGGCGAAAAATCTCCAAACTTGCAGACTGTCATGGGTACTGCCCGATATAAACGATCTGCACTGGATAAACGATGTAGTGCGAAGATACAATTTACTGGGAATCGCAAGTGTCGGTTGCGGCTGCGGATTGCTGGAATGGTTGCTGGAAAAATATTCAGGTAAGTTTTTTAAAAAAAATAGACAGGGATGTATCTCCTCGCTCGGACACAGTGTGTGTGTGACGCTAGTTGTAAATTATTTTTTAGGATTAGATATACTGGGAATAGAATTGGATAGTTCTTGGTGGAACAGCAAGTACTCGCCTCCGAAGTTCCTAAAAAACGTCATTTTTATTGAGAATGAACCAACGAATTTTTCAATACCGAAACGATACGCAATGTTATTTTGTTACTTCAATAACAGCGAGGCATTCTGTAAATATATAGAAAATTACAAGGGCAACTTGATCCTCGTCATCGGTCCGGTGCAAGGACACAACTGTATCACAGATCCGCTGCCTTTTGACAAGAAGTTCGAAAAGTACAATTGGAAATTAATAAAAGAAAAGAGACTTGTGTACTCCAACAATTGCATTACCGCATATAGTAAATAAAAAATTCATTTGTCATTGCAGATGAGTGCAATGTATTTCTTTTTTTCATGTAATATACATACAATACAAATATTATCTAATATTAAGTTAACATGTATCATCAGATTCACGTTTGCGCAGTGGTCGTACCGCTTGGTGCGTCCTGTTTTTCTTTCACTAACGTAGACTCCACAGCAGCTGGATCAGTAGCTTTTGGAGTGGGTTTTTCTTTCGGTAGAACGTACGTGCTTTCTACCACATTCGTTGGAGACATCCAGGTCGGTATAATCTTTCCGTGAATTCGCCAACAACCGTACTCGTTAGCTAAATGCTTTTCGAATACTACATATTCCAACACGTCCTTTCTTAAAATTTCGCTCCCCTGCATCAAGCGACCGAATCTGTCGTAAATAGCTAGTATCTGTAGAAGAACAACCTCACGTGAAGATTGTTAATGTGGTAAATGAAAGACCAAATTTTAGAGAATAAAATTATTGAACCTGTTGCGTGTGAAATCGAACCGTGAGTTGGGCGAAAACGTTCTCTTTCGAGATCATATCCGTAGTTCTCGCGTGCACGAGACGAGCCGGTTCCAAAGACTCTAAGAACTTCCAGTGTACAGTTTTGTTCATCATATTGTGCGTCATTTGCTAAAAAAAAAGCATAGTATATTTTCGAGAATAAACACACAATGTGTGTAAATTTAACTTCAGGATTTCTGAGCAACGATGCAAATAGTCGAAACTTACAGGAAACGCCGTTTCGGTGACATATTGCTGTAATTTCTCCTCATCTTTGCTACAAAAAGAATTTAAGTAACATTTTACTTGATCTTTTCACACTTTAAAAGTGTTAGCTCGCTTATAATATACAAGTAGAATGTTTTCTTACGCAGCTAAAGCTTCGTGTGCTTTTTTATAGATATCCAAGGCCTCATCTAAGAAAAATGATGTTTTGAACATATCGTCATACGTTTTAATTTTTCTAATAGCCAGTAAAGATTTGCTCTTTTTTTCCAAAAATTCATACTTTTGCTTCGCTCCCTGTATTTCAATAATAAAAAATAGTTTTAATTTTTATATCGATATATAAATGTTATGTTATATTAAAATTAGCACGAATCAAACTAAAGAGGATAAATCTTATATTTTATGTAAAAAAAATAATAGTCTTATATTGTATAAGAAATTATTGTATATTGCTCACAGAATTCTGACACATCATACAGAAAAAAAATACCTCTTTAGTAATAGCGGAATATTTTCCGTCTCCTTCGGGAGCAACATAAGACTCAAAAATTGTAGGAGTACAACTAATGTACGCCACTCTCTCTTTCCATGATTTTTGTGGAATAAATCCAAATTCTTTTATATGCGATCGCATTTGTTCCTTCTCCAATTCCATAGGATTTTTGTCTTCCTTTTCGAGATCCGGAAGTTTTACTTTAATAACTTTCAATCTCCTCAACTTTTTAAACTTCGGATCCCAGTGCTTACGGATATATCTGACTTGTGTGTAGTCGTAGGGACAGGTAATGGCACCGGACAATGCTGGCAAATTGCTCTGAAATAGTTTCCAATATTTTTAATAGTAGACTTTTTTTCTGTTAAAGTCAAATAAATGCTCTTTATAAAACAAACATTAAATTGCTTTCACATATAGAATACTCTTTATGATCTCTTCAGTATTAACATAACCTACCTGCATAAATTTTCCATAACTAAGTATCGGGCTTATTAATTTCAACATTTTTGAAAAGGTAATTTATTTCTATATTTACTTTAACCTTTCTTCTGGATTGTTTAATAAAATTATATTCAATCGGTTTCTTTTTACACGTGGAACATAAATAAAATAATGTCACTATCCTGCGCGGATTGTTTTAAGGTCAGGATAGGTTGGATTAAGTTAGGAAATCTGTCATGTGCGGTAGAGAGATCTGCGCACGCGCTGTAATTTAACGCAAAGCGCCAAAGTTAGAAACACAGATTTGTGTTCCGGCTACATCCATCCTCAAAGCTACTTATCAAATATATGTATGTATAATTAAATAACACTTTTTTTTTCTACTAGATGTTTATGTAAACTATAATATATACAATATAATCAATTTATAAAGTATCGAAGAAATTATGCATTTTGTACATATGTGTCTTGTTGATTTGACGATTCGTCCGAATCATTTGATGATTTATCTGTTGAGTTCAATTGCTGAGCTTTGAATAATTCAATGAGTTTTTCCGTAGCCGTGGGACCAAGTTTAACAGCCGTACCAAGTGTCTTCTGCAAAAAGGAAAAAGAACATAACACATAACTACAATGCTTAGGTGTTTAAATACAAACTTGAGGATCAATGAAGATCTCGTCATAAATATATTAATTACATTAGGATAGTGTTCCAAGTTTAATTTCGGGTCTTTGAAGGTGAACGGTGTCCACGGGCCTTGAATTGACGGAAATTCTGTGTGCCACAATTTGCGGAATCTTACAGAGGGAGTATCGTGAATCTGCGTGCGCAGCAGTTCCATCCATTTGACAATATCTTCCCGACTGTAATTAGCAACGCACATCCACTGTCTGTCGCCATTTACTAAATAAAAACAACAATGTTATTTCAACAATACAATGTAATGTTTACAATGTTATCCACAAGTAAAGAGTACACATACAATATTCAGCAACTATAACTGGCACCCTGTGTCTTCTCGGCTTGGTGTAAACGACCACTCCTGGATTTTCTCTCGCATATTCAACTAAATCGTGCTCTATAAAGCCTCTGTGAAAATAATGTACTTATTAGTTTAAAAGTTTCTTATCGCGTACAATTGACCAATTGTGTGTTTTATTGTAACCTCATTCCTCTGCTCGAACCATTATTTTTGCAAAATTTCAAAGTCACTCTCTGGAGCTGACAAACGTAGCGTCCGATCCCGAGACCAAAAGGTGCTCGCAGAAATGTCGATTTCATAAACAAGGATTTGTTCGACATGATAAGTATTTCGTTAATGCGAAAAATTACAATTTACAATGGATAATAACAAATAACAACAATTTGCTGCACCCCACCGCTCTCGACGAAGACACACCGCAAACAACGCCCACTGGAGGGAGACCGAATTACTTTGGGTGCGGTCAACGTCTCACTGCAAATGTTTCCAAGTATCATTCTATCTTTATTCTACATTTAACGAGAAATAAAGATAGAATGATGCTTCAAAACATTTGCAGTGAAGCTTTGACTGCACAATTTGTTTTTATTTCGATCGGCCACGAAACAATTTTCTCCACCAATCGGAGAAGTTGTTGTCGATGCGCCAGACGCGAGTGCGCGCAAGTGTTGTCACTTCCGCTCTCGCGTGTCTCGCGAGTTCCTTTTATCCGCGATCGAAGAGTCGTGCGTGCAAGAATTCGATGCGGGCGATATCGTAAGAGATTTAAGATGGTAAGAAATCATTCTCTCTTCCTCGCAAATGTACGCACTTTTTTGTGTGTTATTGTTATTTTTTTGTACGTCGATTTCGTATCTTTTTGCATCTATTTTTCGATTTTTCCGATTCGAAAAGTGTGTCCTCCCCGCGACCACGTTGTGATAACCTCTCAACGCATTCGTTCGCAAGATCTTCCCCTCGATAAATGTGTCCTTAAAAAAATTATATCTTTCCGCATGTGCTCTATCCCCTCGTGGGATTCGAAATAATGGTCTTCGTACAAAAATCATTGATGTCGATGTGTATGAGATGAATGAAATTTCGCAATTAAATATGTATCTTGTGCTTTTCGAAAACTGATTGCACGAACAATATGTCCGGTGGAGTACATCCGCCATTACGATCGGCATCTCTTGTGTGCACAAATCCACACATTCACTGAGACTTGTGTACATGTTTACTAATAAAAATTTATAAATTGAAAATAGAATCTAATTTAATTAGTAAAAATATAAGATTAGATATTTATTGGAATACTATTCACACATTGACATATAACAATATTTGAAAGAAATTATTTGAAAAATTTCTTACAATATTCTTGTTTTGTGAAAAGTTTGCTTCGTAAGAGTAGGTACATGAAATTTAAATTTGTTTGCAACTTTAATTTTTTTTCAGTCGTTATCAACAGCTCGACCTCTTGTCACGGTGTATACCGACAAGAACAAGGCAACACCTGATGTACTGTCCTTGCCAGCTGTCTTCAAAGCTCCGATTCGACCTGATATTGTGAATGTTGTTCACCAGTTAATCTCGACAAATAAAAGACAACCGTATTGTGTTTCCAAGGAGGCTGGTAAATAATTTTTTGTTTTTTTTTATTTGTTTGTTAATTCCAAGTATAATTTGTTTATTGCGTGTAAGATTTTCTGATGTGAGATTTTTAAAATATAGCTTCTGTTTTTCAGGTCATCAAACCTCTGCGGAATCATGGGGTACTGGACGTGCTGTGGCACGTATCCCCCGTGTACGTGGCGGTGGTACTCATCGGTCTGGTCAGGGTGCGTTTGGTAACATGTGTCGAGGTGGACGCATGTTTGCACCCACCAAACCCTGGCGCCGATGGCATCATCGTGTCAATGTAAATCAGAAACGTTATGCTCTTGTGTCGGCTATTGCTGCTTCTGGTGTTCCCGCATTAGTGCAGTCTAAAGGTACATTAAGAATTAATGCGAATGTGCGAAATAACAAATGATAAATTTTTATTACATAAATGTTTATTTGTCTTTTTATGTTGTATATAGGACACATGATTCAAGACGTTCCTGAGTTTCCATTGGTCGTCACTGATAAAATTCAAGATTATACGAAAACCAAACAAGCTGTTATCTTTTTAAGACGTATCAAAGCGTGGAACGACATCCAAAAGGTTTTGTTTTTTAATTGTTATTATGTAGATTATATGTGCACCGATAAATGTCCACATCCTTGCTAAACGAGTTTAGTTCGGATGTTCCTAATAGGTGCTAGAAAAATACGATATTCAGGCGTTCTTGTCTAGACGATGATCACATTCGCTAGCAGGGGTATGAATCATCGAACAATTTATTAAATTTTGAATATGAAAGTATATTATTAAATTTTCTTAATGCGTAAATTTGTATTCACGTTTACATATCTTTTGCAATTCGTTAAAATTATTGTAGGATATAATCTTTTTTTATCATAGTTAATTGTACAAATCAAAATACATTTTTGTATGTTTATCGTCATGTTTATCGTTGTTAGGTGTACAAATCCAAACGGTTCCGCGCTGGTAAAGGTAAAATGCGAAATCGCCGACACATTCAGCGACGTGGACCCTTGATCGTGTACGGTCAAGATCGGGTAAGTAGTTTTGTTTGAGAATTATGGACGCGCAAAATTTATATTGTATATTTATCACGTGTCAAAAATAAAAGATCGATATTTGATAAATCACGTGTTTGCAACGAATGATTTTTATTTCAGGGTATTCGCAAAGCATTCCGCAATATCCCTGGCGTTGATTTGATGAACATCAACAAGATGAATCTGTTAAAATTGGCACCCGGTGGCCATGTGGGACGTTTTGTAATCTGGACTCAATCTGCCTTTGAACAACTGGATTCTCTTTATGGAACTTGGCGTAAAGAATCGTTACTCAAGAAAGGCTACAACTTGCCATTCCCCAAGATGGCGAATACGGATTTGACCAGACTCCTCAAATCCGAAGAAATTCGCAAAGTCTTGAGAGCTCCCAGGTTATAACACGAAATATTATTATCTTCCATTGATATGAATGAGAAAAGAATTAATTATTCTACATAATTATGATTTAAGTTTTGTAATTTCCTGTTGCTGTTGTGAAACTTTTACGGTTCACTAAAGGAGAAATAATACAATTGCAGGAAGAAGGTGGTGCGCAGAGTGAAGAAAATGAACCCGTTGGCCAACACCAGGGCTATGCTGCGACTCAATCCGTACGCTGCGGTTTTGAGACGCGCCGCTATCTTGAATGATCAGAGACGAAAACTCGAGAGGGAGCGTTTGCTCGCTGCAAAACGAGGCGTAAGTACAAGAAAGAGTTAATGCATCATGTAATAACAATTTTTTTTTGTAGGTGAGGATTTCTTTTTACCGAGTAATCTATTTTATGTGTTGCAGATTGAATTGCCTAAAGATTCAGCTGCGGCGAAAGCTCTCGCGCTCCGAGTGAAGAGAAAAACACACTTGATTAAAGCTACTCTGAGCAAAGGTTTGGCGGCCGCGAAAAAAGCTCCGGCGAAAGATCAGGATGCGGCCCAGCTCAAAGCCAAACGAAGAGCTAAGAGAGAAACAAAGAGGCTTAACAAAGTAGCAAAAGGCGCACTGCTCGCAAAATCCGTGAAAACTGCAAAATCCGTGAAACTTGCAAAATCCACAAAAGGTGCGAAGAGCGCAAAAAGCGACGCGCCTAAGCCTCCAGTCGAAGAAACAAAGTGAACAAGCGTTGATGACTTGAATGTTATCACATTGTTTCTATATAAATAAAAATGGAAGAAATTGTAAATGTGCTTTAGTTGTCTTCCTACTTTCACACGCACAATTTTAGACTTTGTTCTTTATTGTCTTGTTAGTGACAAAAAAAAAAATCCAAATTATTTTCGAGCTATATATTCTTACATAGTTAGCAGTTTTAACTTTTGTTTCAAAGTTTGATCCTCATTTAACACAAATAAATGAAAGATGTAAGACAAATTTAGTCGATTACATAAACACGTAGAAAAAAAAAAAAGAAAATCTCTGTAGCGAATAATGAAAAAGAAAAACGTGCAAAATGTTGCCGCTCAGCGTGGTTTCCAATTAGCGACACGAGTCACAGAAGTCGTTCCGTCCTTGTTCAACACTCAGTGAGAAACGAAGACAGAATGACCCTTGTGTCTAATTGGACAGCACCAGTTGATGACTACTGTAATTATTAGAAGATTGCGTTTTCCTCATAAAATTCCAATGGTCTCACGCATACAACGCACACAGTAATTCCCCCGACACACACACACTACGTTCAGAAACGTTATTCTATTTATCCCTCCTCTATATCCCATTATATCCGATCGCTTGACCTTCTCCGCAGTATTTTCCTCTCTCTCTCTCTCTCTCTTTCTCTCGGACTCGTCGAGCTCTCTTTCATTCTTTCTTGCGCACTTCGAGTCCTGAATGCGTCAGAGCGCAGCTACCGCTCCGTCCGGCAGTGAGTCGGTCTAACTTCAGAGAAAATTTTTAGTATCGTGGCAGCTCTACTACTGGCGAGCGACTACGCAGTGTGCGATAAACGCGGCGAACGACGTACACAAACTAGCAAGTAAGCGATGACCAATAACGCCACAAGCAATTTTTATCACTTCTCAGCAAAAAAAAGACGAATTCACGACGAACTTCTTTGTTACAACGCATTTTGGCGCGTAACGTTTCGCTAAGAGTTTCACCGTTTTCAAGTTTTATATTTGATTTCGAAACATTCGGCAATAATGTAATGTAATAATGTAAAAAATAGTAAATTGAGATAATTTTTACACTTTTCATATAACATTGTACAGGGTGTGTTGTGTTTACGTCGCAAAATGGAGCGTGCGGCGTGACCGTTTTTATATGATTTCTCTTTGAAAGGATATTTCGCAAACCGTGTAAAAATAATAATCTTCCTTCGCGGATCGATCGCAATATCTCCCGAAAGAAGATCGTGACATTTATAAATGAGTCGAGTTTTTGGATTTTCTCTTGTGAGATTTTGTTCCTGGTAATAGTCAAATCTCATCAGAAGTTTATCAAATGATTGTTTTGTAACGTATATACGTTACAATATATGTGCGCGTGTATGTGCGTGTCTTGACGAATCTCCCTCTTTGGTGACGATACTGCGTCACGTTTCGATCCAAGGATAGCAACATACGTGAGATTATACCGAGAGAGTGCCAAATGTGATATTCTGTGTACTCCCTCTGTGGACCTTTCTGCAATTTTGATCGAGTAACATTCATCATGAATTTTACATTTGTTAAAATCGGACAAAAGAAAAAAAATCAAACATAGAAAAACATAAGTTTTATTTACAGAATTCATTTACTGGCGTAATTAATTCGTATGTAGCGCACTCTCTCTCTCTCTCTAATGTTTGTTAATATTCTTTAAAGTGTTTTTCTTTAAAAAAAATATTTAATGTCCATTTGTGATGATTTGTGATAAAAATAATTTGAAAAAATACTAGCTTTGGACACAAGTAATTAAAAATGACATAAATTGTCTAAATGAATCGACCTACAGATTACTGACGACGATATATCATCGCAGATTTCGTTGCATCATTTTTTTACGTGTATATTTATGAAATTTATCTGTTTTGTATGTTCGCAGAAGATGTTTTTGCGCACAAGTTTTGGCGTTCTTCTCGGAACGCTGATGATAATTGCCATCGTGCCACATGCGACGTCTTACAATAGTAAGCAATAAATAACTATACGCAATATTATTTTACAGCGTTTGCGCGTCAATCAAATAAAATTGTAAAATTGTTACGAATCTAAAAACATTTTTGTGTAAAACGTTCAGCGATAATTATTTTAATATAAACTTAATATAAAGAAAAATTAATTAATGTAAAAATAAGAGAAAACTCTCGTCTTTTTTTTTCTTTACTATTTAGAATATGGAAGAACTTGTCAGGACATCGGCTGTCGCAGCGACGAGACATGCGTGATGGCTGAAGATCCTTGTAACAGCTATTCGGACAAATGCGGACGATACCCGACCTGTCAAAAGATAAGTGGTAAGAAATAATTGAACACGAACTACTTGATCTCAATACACTTTCTAATTTATAACAAATTAAAAATTTGTATTTTATCTGTGTTAATTTTGCAAGTAATCAATTTTGATATTTTTGCAAATAAATATTATTTAAGAGTATTTTAAATATATGTTGTGTTAATTTTTCTCAATGTCAAAACTATTTGCAGACGCAAGTTGTACTTCGATGGTTTGCGGACAGAACGAATATTGCAAGAGCGAAAATGGTGCGCCAAAATGCGTGAGGAAGTCCACGGGAATAGGTAAGTTTTTATCAACAATCAGTTTTTATTTTTTATTTTTTTAAATTTTTATATATCGGACGCACATAGTACTCGACACATTGCGAGCATGAAGATACAAAACTTCGAAAAACGCACGAGAAAGATGCATGACAAAAGTTCGGACTGAATAAAAACAAATTAGTTGAGATCAAATATGAAAAGAATCAAAAGTTTCGTGCTCGTAAAAAAGAGGGTTTTCTCGCATAATCATGATGGGAATTTCTATTTTTGTTTTTTTTTTTTTCATGCATTTCATAGCATGTACATGTTGGTATGAAAACGGCATGGTTTCTGAAAACGATGGAAAATCGCACATTTCACTGAACATACATTTTTCTTTATTTTGTATTCAATTTCGCTGGGTATTTGTGCTGTTCTCGAGGAAATTTGTTGTTTTTACAACACTACACTGTATTTTTCACATAGAACGAAATCTTTTTTTATTTACTATTTCTTCGACTATCATGTGTGCGGAAACACGTCGATATACACGACCAAAACGGAACATTGTCTTGAAACACAACTCTCCGTTTCTCTTCCGCGATGGTTTTTTTTCTGCATCTTGCAATGTTTCGTGTAAAAATCAGTAAATTTTGCACTCGCAACGTCGCATAAGCACACGAAGCCAAGAGTCAGCATCCTTGCAGGCTACGAGTCGGCGGGTGTTTCTTACGTGAACGGCGAGCGAGTGAGCGGAAATAACGCAAATCCGTACGCGAACGCTAACGCTCCACCGATGCCAGCGAATCCAGTCAGCAACGACGGTGGATATCATCGGTCGTCCTCTTCCGGAGGCAGTTTGGGGTATCCGCCGTATCCCAGCAATACCGGCTCCTCCGCAAATGGATATCCGCCTTCGCCGCAATCGAACAATCAGGCCGGCCGTCAACACGATCTGGGATATCCTCCGTATCCGACGCAGAACAGAATGCCTGTACCGGGACAGCCAGCAGCGTATCCCAACTATCCGCAATATCCGCAACCCCCCGGATATCCTCAGCAATACCCGGTCTCAAATTATCCGCAGCAGTATCCGGGATATCAGAATTATCCAAATCAGCGTGGACACAGCTACAACTCGGTCTATCGGGGCAGGAATGCCGCGTCTACTGGAACCGTCGCCTCCGTGATTCTCGTCGTGATCTCGGAATTGTTTCTTTCCGTTGTAAATCGTGTCGTTCGGTGGTAATCAGTAACTCAACAATGAACATCGTATATTTTATAATTATTAATCGTGTACATATATGGTTTTTATTATTAGATCTTCTCGTTTCTGGAAAACTACGAAACTGTTTCGTCAAAAGGAAAGTACCAAGTAAATCTCTGTACGGATATCTGTACGATACACGAGTCTAAGCGCGAGTAATGTTTTCCACAGATCATGATTTTTATGACATTTGTTTTTTTTTTTTTTTTTTTTTTTTTAACATTTATCGTTCTACGAATAAGTTACAAAACACTTTACGTAATTTCCCATGAACAAACAGTTATTACATAGTAAAATATTTGTATATTTGTATTATAAGTGATTTAGGTTTTACGATAAAGGAGATCTTTTATTATCAGAATACTGCTTATCAGTATCGAGTATATTGAAGATTAAGCATTGAAAGACCGTAGAACCACAACATAAGACAAACGCGAGAGAATATTTTAATTTATTTCATACATGTAATGCATGCTTTTCAATTATTTAAAACAAACTGGAAAAAGAATTGGTTGTTGGAAAAAGAATTTTTAGTCGATATTTTGTATATTTCTTCATAATTTATCGCAATTCCAATAAAACGCTTCATGAGCGATTTTCTTTTATTCAAGATGTAACAGACTATTTCACAAATGAGTGGGTTATCAGCTTAAACCTTGACATAAGTTATCTTCTCATACGCATGCAAATACAGCGATGATGCATTGCGTCTTCCACGCAATATCGTGTTTTCCTTTTTCATGTTTTTAAAACTGAGCGATATCAGCAAATATATTTATTACATTTTTTCTATAGAGTTTAAAAAGTTCTCAAAAATTTTAATTAATTACATATATAATTAGTACAAACTATTTTTTGAAATAGAAGCAAACTCTAAAATAAAGCCTTTTAAGAAGAGAATTAAGTTTCAAATTTTCTTTTAAATATAATGACAAGAATGTTTAGTACAAAAAGCGTATATTTTTTTAAAAGATCTACGAGAAACACTACTATAAGATATATTAAAAATTTAATTTTTTGAAGCATTTAGCATTTTTATACAATTCTCGATATAATGTAGACATATATATGTATGTATGTATGTATATATATATATACACACATACACATATATAGGTATATATATATTAGTTCCTTAAAGAAGAATTGTAAATGTTCTTTGTAAATAAGTCACTAAATAAGTTTTGCAATTACTTATAGCGTAAAGCCTTTTAAAGTTTGTATCACTGAGTAGTACATCTCAATAGAAAATCACAAAGTTCGGTTTGCCTGAGTCAAAAAGTTCGTAAACAGCGAACATTTGAATCTTGTGAGCATGGGTGCTTTTGATGGAGAGACGAAATTCGTATGGTTGTTAAATATAATTTTGTGAGGGGATTGACAATCGACGACGAATGTATGGACAAACTAAAAACATTTTTAGCCGACGATCGTCTTTATCAAACAACTGAATTTCCGTTGAAAAGTTTTGCGATGAATATATAAATTATTTATATTAAGTTGAATGTGTCAAATAGAAAAACAGTTTAACAATTTTATTTGAAGCCTGCTTATACTTCTCTCCGAGTATAAACTCAACTTGGACAAATTGTACATCAACGTTCTAATAAAAATAGGACAGTGTAATTGTTATCTTTATTTACGAACTATAATTTATAATTTTTTTGCACGACTTTCCTTATTGCAACAATGTGCAACTTTGTTTGTAACGAAAGGCAAGTACAGAAAGAAACAGCATTATTCTCACGTGTAAATTGGGGTGAAAACCACTAGGTTATTACTAAATTATAATTGAGTATATGTATGTGCAACATTTCTTCTGCGTGTTGTTATATCTTTGGAACAATTAGTTAACATACAAGCGTAACTTTTAACAACACAATTTGCGTCCTATATTAGTTACACTTGCGTTTTATATTCGTTTTGTGTGTTTTCACATCATATGATTTAACAGCAGTGCCTCCGGGACTTGATCAAGTGTCACGTCAAACGACATCAAGAATCCCGACGCCACCACCTAGATCTACGTCATACGGATACGGAGGAAGGAACAACGGTTACTCCGGTTCCAGAAACACTGTAGGTGACGGCTCTATCTTCAATCGTTTGTTTGGCACCCAACGTCCTCAGCCTACTCCAGCACCCACCAGATCTACCAATTTTGACAGAAGCATACAAAGAAACAGAAATGATTACTACACTACTCATACTCGTATTGATAGTAACGGAAACAGAGTCTGGACGTTTTCTAGTTGAACAAATCTCAACTGTTCTTTTATAATTATTTGTCTACTTTAAAATACTCATTTTATTATTTGTCTATATTTGAGAAATATTCACTTTAATCAAATATCTATCGTTTAATCTGCAGAAAAACGAATAAAATGGAAAGTGTATATTTTATAGAATTATGGTTGTAAAAAAATTTTATTTATCTATAACAAATAAAATAAAATGTACAATTCGAATTTGTGAAACTAAATTAATCTGCTAATTATATAATGTGCATGCAACAATATGAGTCATGCTGCATGTGTGCATGATAAATGCAAGTCTTCGCAAAATTGGATATTTTTTAATAAAAATATTATATGCTATTTTTTAAAATAAGGTTGTATTACATTAAAACGTGAAACTTCTGCATTGCAAGAAGTTTTGTGTAATTTTCTCATTTATAATATCATTAATTCATTCATTTTGATCAATATCACCGTAAAAAAGCTTTTAACTACTTAAAACACTTTTTTGTGTGCGGCTCGTTTAACTTATGCATCTACAAATATGTTTTATACTTAAGAAGCGTTTTTACTTATATTTAAGAAAAGTCATTATTTTATTGTATTGTACAGAGTATGAAATGAAGACACATACAACGGAACCACACGTCAATCAACACGAATCTTGGGATCGTCTTAGAAAATCGAATAATCATCCTAATAGAATTGTTAGATCTTCTGGATATCCATCTGTCTCAGAATATCCCGATAATAGCAATTCAAACCTTGAATCTTCAAGTACTTCTAATTCAAATCGACCCCAATCTAGTTATCCTTCTAGTCAGTCCAGTGGATATCCAACTAGTGGATCATCTGGGTATCCATCTGGTAGATCATCCGATTACCCATCCAGTAGGTCATCTGGTTACCCATCTAGTGGATCATCTGGTTACCCTTCCAGTGGATCATCTAGTTATCCATCTAGTGGATCATCCGGATATCCATCAAGTGGCTCATCCGGTTACCCATCTAGTGGATCATCCGATTATCCGTCTACTAAATCATCCGGTTATCCATCTAGTGGATCGTCTCGATATCCATCCAGTGGGTCCAGATATCCATCTAGTGGATCATCCGGTTACCCATCTAGTGGATCATCTGATTATCCGTCAACTAAATCATCCGATTATCCATCCAGTAGGTCATCTGGTTACCCTTCCAGTGGATCATCTAGTTACCCTTCCAGTGGATCATCTGGTTATCCTTCCAGTGGATCATCTAGTTATCCATCTAGTGGATCATCAGGATATCCATCTAGAGGTAGTTCCAGTTATCCTACAGGATATCCAAGCGGTTCCTCTAGTTATCCGAGTAATTCTAGGAATCTTGGCGAAGAAACTATTAGACGGACTGATAGTAGTGTTGTAAACGCTGGCTATCCAGGATACTCGTCTAGATATCCACAAGGAAATCCATCGTATCGAAATTATCCGGCTCAAAATGCAGGATATCCCTCTTCAGGCTATCCGTACAGTAATCAATATCCAGCATATCCTAATCAAGGGTATCCACAAAGTTATCCTCAAGGAAGATATCAAGGAGGATATGAACAAGGAGGATATTATCCAAATCAAAATTATCCGACAACTACTAAACAACCTAGCTTTCGCGATCAGTTGACAAATGTGGCACGTAACGTGGCCGAGAGAGTACTGACACAAACAATAGTAGATCGCGTCACTGGACGGCGTCAATAAACAAAATTTGTTTTAATAAACATTTGAAATCTTTATTTTTATAACACTCTTATCACATGTAACCATAGAAAAAACTACAAAATATAAAATGATTAATTTATCAATTGTTTTCTTTGAAAACAAGCAATATTGTAGAAATATGTTAATTATACAATTGTAATATTATTTGCTGTTTAATAAAATTGTTACGCATCGCGCTACTTTGAAATTTTTATTCAATTAAGCTACTAAATTTAACCGCGTTAAATACATTGACACGTAAGCGCGCAGCTAGTGTACAAAATAAATACAACTTCGCATACACAAAAAACTATGAAAAAGTTACATATAATATATGAAATTTACAAAATTCCTAATAAAGTTTACAAAATAACTTCTATAATATATGAAATTTAATAACATTTAAAAAACTATATAAAATTTCTTTAATTCAATTTAATTATTTATAGAAGTTATTATTTAAAATTCATCATTCCATAGTTGATGTTTTAGTTCCCGCACACTTCCCAAAAGTAGAGGTACCTTATGTGGCTTATATTCTATTGCGAATAAGAATGGACGTTCTACCGCAAATATTCTCGATGCCAAATTCCTTGAACCTTCTTCATCTGCAACTGCAATTAATATACACTTTTTTAGTGTTTTGTAACATAAGTTTATTATATATATTATTATAATTTTATTTTATATTTTTGTTGTCTATTATTCACAAATAAATAAATTTACCTAGTACATCATCGTCTGGACTTTCAATATCTATAACAGTTTTTTCTATTATATGGTTTAGATGCATAGGTTGAGATATCATAGTTGAAAACTTTGCATCTTCCGAAAACATTGTGATCACGCTTAACTAAAAATATTTATTTACTAAATATCTTGTATTCTCTCTCTCTCTCTCTTTCTCTCTTTTTCTATCCATATTAATCCTATATCCCAAAAAACTTCGCCAATTTTATTTTACCTCTTTTAAAGTATCTTTCAAGTCCACAGTAAAATCAATATTGAATTTAGGTAGATACAATTCTATTTCCTCGACAGATCTGGGTGCGTTTGCCAATGATGTCCAGTTGAAATTCCTTTCTACAGTCTGCAAGTCCACTTCTTCGTTTGGCAACAATATCACCATTACGAAGTCTGAATTCTGTAAAATATTCTTTAGTTTAGTTTTCAGTTCTTATTACTTTTTTCTTTTTAATGAATAATTACACATTTACCATGTACGGTATTTCAATCAAACTTGCTTTCCACTCTGGTATTTCACTGTAATTAAATTTTGTGGTCTTTTTCATTGTTGGGACAAAAGGTGAATGTCTTTTGGAAACATAAAATTGACGCATTTGTATGTTTCTATCAAACGTGTCATACCAGTTGCCCTTGAAATACATTGTATTTACCAACATCATTCGTGTTTCTTGATCAATAATATCTGTTTAAAGGATTTAATACATGAGAAAACTTGAGCAGTTACATTACCGAAATACCTAATTTCAATTATTAAATAATTTAATATATATACCCGGATTGAGTTTACTTAATATTTTGATATAAGTCGATCTTTGAATCCATGAATTAATTACTTCAACGGCTTTGATCTTATTGCTAAAGTCGACTGTTGTAATAGTGGAATCAAAGTTGTTTGTACATATTGATACAAACGTATCGTTAAAGGGACATCTATGTTGTGCAAATATGGCATTTGCCGAATACAAATCCCCGTGTTTAAGATCCTAAAATGCCGTTAAATTGTTTTTGACTGTTGTACAAATTGTCTTATTGGTAAAATCATAATCTCACTTTTATTTGAGCTATCCAATCTGCGAGTTCTTCAGTCGAAGAAATTGTATCATTATCATCATCAAAGAGAATACATTTCAGTTCGTCCAAAGTGGAATCTCCAGTGCCGTGAGTAAGTAAAGAAAATAATAAATATAAATTCACAGGAGAAATTACAATATTGCCTTTTATGCTTTTCGATAAAGTCTATAAAACAGCCCATAAACATACGAATTGAAAGATTTAACATTTATACAAATATTTTATCAATCATCTCGTATCATTTTAAATTACACATACCTTGTATAACAGACTGGTAAACTCGTGACACGATGAAATCATTTTTTCTACATTCTCGATTGGGTTTTTATCTACATACGGTGGCTTATTTTCTAAAGTTTGTGATCTTACAACGCGGAGAAAAGGTTCAGTACCAACGAGTAGATACAGCACTAAAATATACACAGTTGGATTTGTGAGACTCATCTTTGGTAATTCGCACTATTTCGATCACAGCTAAATGATTTTAATCGCGTTCTAAATCACTTCTTCGAAGCAACCGGTATTAACGCTCTTCGTGTAATGTTTGTCATTTTCAAACAGCGTGCTGTTTCAAGCTCCCACTCGTGCGCACACGTGCTGTACACAGGCTCCGCCCCGTTGGGATATTTAGCGTGAGATTTTTGAATTTGAACAACAGCTTAGATGATGATCGCAGATGCATTTCCGCACCAGTTTTTGCAAAAAGAATAAAGATTTATTTGTTAACTACTGCAAAACAACCACTATATCGTTCATTCATCCAACAACGTCGACAGATGTTCGAGTTTCAGAAAAATTTCCACGTTATACACGAACCGCTGTTTCCCATATCGCTAGTCTTTGCGTTTGCGCAAGAGTAGAGCAAAGATAATAATAATCAGTCAAAGTACGAGCAAGGTGAAGGTCTTCAAAGTTTGTTTTTACTTTTTCTCTACCTCTCTCTTCGTACCAGGTATTTTTCAAAACAAGTTACGTGTTCGGATATTCGTTTGAAATATCGTCTGAATACGAAAGATATTGAAAACTTTTGTCCGTGTCTGAGATTACCGAAATAATCTATACATTACAATATTTTATAGTTTTACATTCTTCGTAATAAAGATGCATAAGAACAAAGTTAATTTTTTTTATGACAGATATTTTTTTCTTAAATAATAAATAGGAAATCGATTTGTTAAGTTTTGCTAAACTCGATATAATTGCTACATTCTGTAAAAAGACTAACATTTTTAATTTGGATATCTAATTATAGGATAGTATGATCGCGTAGCTGAGAAATTACATGGTAAAGTTAGTAAAAAGAGGCCTGAAGACAAGTAAAAGAAGATGTCATAGTTTTAAGATAGAAAAGCTGCCGGTTTTCATAGACATATTAAATTCGCCACGTTTCCACAGGTATAGGCATAGGTGAAAGATACTTTTCACGACATCGAGCAGAATAAATACTTTAATTCACATTTTTATCTTCGTGCAAAGAAATTGTTACTATTTCTTGCAAAAATTATTGTAAAATTTTTAGAACGTAGTTTTATATACAATTTGCACACTGTCATTTCGCGATGTGTTCGCACAAGTGTGTAAAATATAACATAAATAGATTCAAACGCACAAAAAATCTGCAGTGATATAAAAATTTAATTATAATGCGCTAGCCGTAGATAAAAACACGCTGTGCGTTGGAGCGGCGTGAATTGCAGGGAAACAGACACATAAGTGACCACATCAATTATCTGGTTACGGGAAATTTCTTTCGTTTTGCGGCAAATGTCACACGACATACTTTTCATATCGCTAAAGAAAGACAGTTTACTTCGGTAAATAAAAATCGATTTATTCTGTGGGTAAATTATGTTAAATTATGTTAAGTAGAAGCATTTAGTTTTTTTTTAAATAGAGCCACGTATTCGACAAAGTCGCACGTGCGTCTCATCGTTCGCTTCTTCCGTTTCCGGAAACGAGTAAGCATGAAGCGATTGTTTCGAGCAATAAAACGCAGTTTTTCAAAAGAGCGTGCCCTTCTCGGAGGATATCGAAAAGGTTGATACAATACATGTATGTACGTCTAGGCACGCCGTGACGCACACACAAGGACGTGTCTAAAAAGCAAAAGTATCACTGTTGCGTACCGTCGCATTCGTTCGATGGTTTTAAACTCGAAAATTTGAAAAAGATCAGCCCGGAAAAATCCGAGAGTGTGAATTCGAGCTCGGGACCTCCTGCTCACAGTCCTTTGCACTTAGGCCGCGAGACCACTTGGTTGATCGGTGATATTTTCATTCATTTAATCTACTAGATTTAACCGCGTTAAATAAATCAACACCTAAGCGCGCAACTATTGTAAAAAATAAATAAAACTTCACATATAAAAAAATAGACTATAAAAGGCTTGTTATATAAAATTTATAAAAATATAAACAGGTTTTATTACAAAAAATTTACAATTCATCTTTTAATGGTTGATAATCTAATTTCCGCACACTTCCCAAAAGTAGAGGTATCTTGTATGGCTTATATTCAATCGCAAATAAAAATGGACGTTCAACCGCAAATATCCTCGGTGCCGATCTAATTGATCTTCCTTGTGCAACTGCAATTAATATACTTTCTTAGCGTTGTAATATACTTTTATTATATATTTTAGTATATAATTTGATTTTATATTTTCGTTTTTTATTGCTCACAAATGAATAGATTTACCTGTTGCAGCAGCAGCCTCTGTACTTTCTTCATCAACTTTTAGAAAACCTTTTTGTATCACATGGCTTAGATATATAGGTTGAGATGACATAGTTGTAAAATTTGCATCTTTCGAAAACATCGTGATCACTCCCATCTAAAAATATTTATTTAATAAATATCTTGTACTCTTTTTCTCTCTTTTTTTCTATCCATATTATAATCTTATATCCCAAAAAACTTCGCCAAATTTATTTTACCTTTTTTAAAATATCTTTCAAGTCCATAGTAAAATCAATATTGAATTTAGGTAGATACAATTCTATTTCCTCAACAGATCTGGGTGCGTTTGCCAATATTTTCCAGTTGAAATTATTTTCCACAGTCTGCAAGTTCACTTCTTCGTATGGCAACAATATCACCATTACGAAGTCTGAATTCTGTAAAATATTCTTCAGTTTAGTTCAGTTCTCACTATTGTTTTCTTTTTAACAAATAATTACACATTTACCATGTATGGTATTTCAATAAAACTTGCTTTCCACTCTGGTATTTCACCGCAATTAAATTTTGTTTTCTTAACCATTGTTGGGACAAGATTTATCTCTGTTTTAGAAACATGAAAAGCAAGCATTTGTGTATTCTTTTCATCAAACTTAGCAAGCCACTTGCCGTTAAAATAAATAGTATTAACAAACATCATTCTTGTTTCTTCCTCAATAGTATCTGTTTTAAACATTTAATACATGAGAACACTTGTGTGCAGGTACATTAGTACTATTACTTAGTGCAATAACTTTTAATGATTAAATACTGCAATATGTATACCCGGAGTTATTATATTCGATAGTTTGTTATATGTTGATCGTTTAATCCATGTATTAATATCTTCTACAGCTTTGACCGCATTGCTAAAATCTATCATCGTTATGAAGAAATCAAAGATATCTGTGCTTGTTGACTCAAACTTATTTAAAAACGGATATCCATACTGTGCAAATATCGCACTTTTTGTATACAAATCAACTTTTTCAATATCCTAAAATGCAGGTAAATTATTTTCGACTGAAGTATAATCACACCTGTTTCATTTGTAAAGTCAGAATCTCACTTTTAATAGAGCTATCAAAGATTGAAATTCTTCACTCAGTGAAACTATATCATCGTGATAAAGAATGGATCTCAGTTCATCCAAAGTGGAACCTGCAGTGCCGTGAGTAAGTAAGGATAATAATACGTACACGTTCACAGGAGAAATCAAGATATTGTCGTTACTGCTTTCCGATAAAGTCTGTAACACAACTCATAAACATACACATTACAAACTGAAGAATTTAATACTTCTACGAATATTTTACCAATCATCTCGTATGAGACACATACCTTGTATAACGAACTAGTAAAATCGTGACACGATGGAATCACATTTTTTAAAGTGGTTGATGGTTTTTTATCTACTTGCATTTTATGTTGATCAGAAGCTTCAGTATCGACGAGTAGATACAGCACTAAAATACACACAGTTGGATTTATGAGATTCATACTTTGCAATTTGCACTATATTTCGATCAAGTGTCAAATAATTAATCGCGTCACATTCTAAGTCACTGTTTAAAAACAACCGGTGTTAATTTTTGACATTTAAACAGTATGCTGTGTAACCCTGTTAAGAGAGCTTTCGTGCGTTCACGTGCCTAACCTGTATACAGGCTCCGCCCAGTTGAAGTATTAGCGTGATATTTTTGAATTTGAACAGCTCAGATGATTGCAGATGAATCTCCGCATCAGTTTTTGCAAAAAGAACGAAGCTTTATTCAATTAACTAGAGTAGAACAACCACTTTATCGTTGCTTCGTTTAACAACAGATATCCGAGTTTTAGAAAAATATTCGCATTATACACAGTGATGAAAGTTTTGGCAGGCTAGCACCAAGAGCACCGAGGTGGTGGGGGCACGCACACAGCGAGAACCGCCGTCCGTGTGCGTGACGTCACGCTCGGCTGTTCGGCTCGTGGAAGAGTGCAGACGTACTATGTTCCGCCTCGCTTCCAC